AGGTTGTGAACAACTATTCTTGTTCGCAAGTAACTGATAGAGTGATCTTCGGTTCGCCCGATGACGACCCACTCTATCTAAGTGCGGAGCAACAGAACGTAGGACTTGTTTAATCTAACATGAAGCACACCAAACTCCAGAATCAGACAGAGGCTTTGGAAAATGAAGGTTGTCAACAAAGTTAAAATTTTCATTTGGAAGTGTATAACAGAGGCTCTACCAGTTAAAACTAAATTGAGGGAGAGAGGCCTGAACTTAGATGTGGTCTGTAGAACTTGTGGGGAGGCACCAGAGACTATAAACCATGTCTTATTTCACTGCCAGAGAGCTGTTCAACTGTGGAAGATGGCCCCTATCTCCTGGACTCATCTGCCAAACCATGACTCTTCCTTCAGAGGCTGGTGGATGGATATTTGCTCCATTGACAACTCAGAGACATCACAGGCCCGAATTCAACTTACTACCTATATCCTGTGGTGGCTTTGGAAATCGCGCAACCTTATCATCTTTCAAGATACCATCATGCCCATTAAAATCACATTGAAGGCTGCTCAGCAGGATTGGTTGGATTTCATACATGTGAAGTCCTAATGCGTCTGTTTTTTTAGTTTGTTGGCTGTGAAGTTGTGCCCCTTTTGTTTGTTGGTTGTTTGGTTCGGTTTGTGTGTTTTCCCTTTTCACCTCTAGGTCTTGAGGCAGTGGATGGTGCTTGTAGTTTTTTTCTTGGTCTTTAGTTGTTATTTTCTTCTTTTAGTTTCCTTTTAGTTGGTTGAGGTTCTAGGCCGTTTTGGGTGTGTCCTTTCAGTTTGCTATTTCGGTTTTGGATTGTATTATTCGAACTTGGTTCGCTTTGAGTTATATAAAATCTCTATCGTTTCGTCAAAAAAAAAAATCCCATTTCTCGATTCCGAGGTCGTCAAAATTGATTACACATCCCCCGTGGGGAGGCCCGTGCGCTCTCTTAAGATTCCTTCTAACCGTTTAATTTCAGAAATTTGTTCTGGTAATTTCCTACAATTAATTTTAGCAATTTCGCCCGTAGGGGAGCCCATTACCGCAATTAATTGATTTACCGACAAATTAGAAATGGAGGCCTTAGGAATTTTACAATTAACTTTAATTTAAAATCCCTTCTCAAACTTAGTATGATTTAATTAGGATTTTTAACTACTTATGCAATTCTAAATTGATCTATGTAAATGAAATAATTAATTATCATGCATAATAATTCATGCAATTATAAATTAATCTATGTCAATGCAATAATTAATTACATGTACAATAATTCATGCAATTCTAAATTAATCTATGCCAGAGAACTAATTAATTATCATGCATAATTTATTGATACAATTCTAACTTAATCCTATGCATTACATAATTAATTAACATGCATAATTATTCTTGCAATAGTATATTAATACCATGAAAGAACATAATTAATTAATATGCATAAATAATAATTAATGGCATAATGAATTTAAATAATTAAATAAATCCACTATTATGGCCCTTAAATATTGAGTCTCCTTAAACAAGGACACTGTGACAGTTCTTTCCCTGTTCAACTGGAACTCCTTTAGCAGTAGAATCCTGGTTAATATTGAACTGTTTGGTCATCAAAGCAAAAACCTCTCCACCTCTTGCAATCCGCCGCCGACGCCATCGCCGGTGGTCGGAAAAACGCGTCGGTTCCTTCCTTTTTTTAATTCTTCGAAGCTCGGTTATCTCTTGATATCTCCCGGTCATCAACACATGATCACAACACGAAAAATATAATTTACAAAATTACTTAATTCGATCCTAGATCCAACGAATGGATGTACATGTTTTTTAAAAAAATAATTAAATATACCCGGTCAATCCTCGGACGAATAATTATTACAAACATTCATCCATCAATTCATCAACATGTCCGAGGCTTTTAAAATCAATTTAAAACCATACATCACATTCAACAACATTCATCAAACACATAGTCGGCCATAATAGTGGATTAACTATTTTCCTGCAAAACCGAGTTATGCAAATATAATCCAATATATGGCTGCTTTTGAACACATCTTGTCAAATAAGGCCGTAAAAATTTGAACTTTGTACAAAATGAATTAACCAAGTGCTCTGATACCACTTGTTGGGATCTGTGAGGATCTCGTTATGCAGAAATCATGAATTCAGTAGCAAACGTGAACCTATGCGCAGCGGATCTGAAGGTTTGACGTAGAGAACTTACGGCTTAAAATTTATGGCGATCTGGATGATCTTCTGGATGGCCGTACACAACACACGAACAGGTAGTCACACGAACGGAACAATCGAATCGACTGGTGTCAATCGCAGACGGGTCGTGTGGGTCGTCGGGCTCGATCGCCGGTTCGCGCGGGGTTGCCGGTTGAGTCGTGGTCTTCCTCCGGTTCGCGCGTCGTCTCGCCGGGTGGATCGCGATCGGTCTCCGGTAGATTCACAGTGGGTCTGGCTCGTCGGGTCGGCGGTCTGGCGGGTCGGGCTCGTCGTGAATTTATTTTCTGTAGAAGATAATCGGATCTCGGTTACCTATTGATCTTCTACTGTAGTACTCAATACACCCCTCTTCAACTTGTACCAGTGGAGCAACAAGAAGAAGATAAAGCTCGAATGAGAACTGAGAGAGAGATGAGAGGGGGCGGCGTTATTCACGTGAATAATGATATGTCTGTTCTCTTCTCATGAGCTTAATGATGTATATCCAGAGCTACAATAGGGACCCTTAGGAGATTAGGAATAGGGCTCTTTAATTAATTGGACTAACTGTGGGCCAAGCCCACTCTTCTAATTAATTAAATAATATTAATGAGCCACCAACATTATATTATTGCACTCTTTTTCCTAGTCCAAATTACATTTGAGACTCCAATAATAATTACTCGATTTACCTCCTCACGTTTAAGATATAATGTCCATTAATTAATTCGATTACTGACAATTAAGAATTAATTAACTTATTATTATTTCACCTAAGCTAGCACTCGTTCATCACATTCTTATTATGCTGGAATTTAATTCACCTGCAGGGTTTAACATAACAATCCTTCATGATCTCACTCCGGGAACATCATCAAACTAACGCATATGGTGACCGTAAATATTCTAACAGCACATTCTATATATAGTAATATTACTCAAAACAGTAAGAATATTGATCCAGCGAACTGAACCTCCCCCAAGTGAATCAATGTAATATATACTACATATATTTGTCTGTTTAATATCTTACGGGTTAAGAGAACGCAGTAATTAACTGATGCCTAGTTCATTTACGACGATTAGTATAAAATGAATTTCTCCTCTCTGGGATCATGTTCAATACATAAATGTACTAGTGCAACTAATCAGCCAATACAAACTGTACAATTGACACTACAACTGTTCGGATGGGGTGTTCATGTCCATCTAGGTTGTGAACAACTATTCTTGTTCGCAAGTAACTGATAGAGTGATCTTCGGTTCGCCCGATGACGACCCACTCTATCTAAGTGCGGAGCAACAGAACGTAGGACTTGTTTAATCTAACATGATTCTCATTCATAAAGGGCAAATGTGTAATAACATGCAAAGCCAAGCTTTCAGTATATAACACTAACATATCTTGCTAAGGAGTCTAGATTTTAGAGATGTGGTAAGCTAAGAAATTAAATATGAGTTGATCTATTATCTTGTTAGGACTCTCTTGGGCATCAAAACACCCAATTACATAAGGGTGATCATGTTATATTTTAATGTACAACGCATCCATATGCATTAAGCAAATATATTCTTCGTTTTGTCTCACAAGTAGATACTGACTTGAGTGTCGGAGGTTTTCCACCGGAACCCCACTCCAGCGTCTTGCAGGTTACCCGAGCTCGAAATCGGCGACCGTTTGTGATTCCGGTTCAATTTTCTCGTGACATATTTGCACATTACTTTACATTACGCTTCTTATCGCTTGTGTTATCCAATTGATTTCTTACAAAACGCTTTATAATAAGCGTTATCTAAAGAGATCGGTCTTCATTGCTCTTGCTGAGGTCGTTGGATTACCGACGTTCCTTCAACTCCGTTACACTAGCTCTGATAACGCTTAAAAGTGTTATGTCTAGTAAAAAAAAGGAAAATGATACAAGTAAATAATAAATGTACATAAAGATGTACACACTTATGTATAATATTATGTACTTATAAAATTTGTCTTTTTTTTTAATAGGTCACACACAATGTAGTTATTATGTACACCTTTATGTACAATATTATGTATCTATAATATTTTTTTAAAAAAAATGCTACANNNTGTGGCAAGGCAGACGTCGCTTAGCGATTTTCAATTAGAACAATATTAAAAACTACATCTGGATTCTTAAATAAAACTTTTGTAAAATATATTCCTTTAGAGCAAGAAATAAATTAGATATCATCCGACTACATGACCATAATATTTTATAAATCTTAATCAACATGCTAATTTAATTACTTAATATCGCTAAATCTGAATCAACACGTGCCATTTTATGATGCCACAGAAAAATGGATGGAAATGTGTAGAGGGCATTGCTGGAAAGGGCATCGTTTGTTTGAAGCATTAAATGAAAGCAGGACCAATAAATGAGGAGCCACTGAAGTTGGTTCGGAAAAGCAGCTACACTTAATTCATTCATGAGAAGCGGATAGCCCTCTTGCTTTATTTGGGCCCAAATCTTACACCCTAAAGCCTATAACCACAAAATCCAGGATCCCAAGACCAATGCAGCTTGTGGTGAGAGTTTAAAGAAGAAGAAAGGGGACAACTAAAGGATAATAAATCATCTGGCCACCTACAGAACAACAATATACATTTACTCCACTGAAAGTTGGCAGTTGAGTCTTTAGTGGACCTACCATGTGCTGTGCTTCTTGGTCATTAGGTTTTGGTATAAATACACTACACCTCATGCTATTCTTGCATTCATTTTTAGTCTTCTCCTTTTAATTTCTCTACAGAAACAATTATGGGTGCACTTTCTAATTGGTCTGTTGTTGGTTTCGGTCTGGTGGGATTTTTGGTCCTTGGATTGGCTGTGGGAGATGGTAATGGCGTTGTGAATGATGAGAAATTCCTTCATAAGCCCTTCCTTCACAAGCCCTTCATTGGAAGGCGTTTTGGGGGAGGCTTAGGGCATGGAATTTATAAGAAAGGGTTTAAGCATTACGGTGGTGGTGGCGGCGGTTTAGGTGGCGGCGGCGGACTTGGTGGTGGAGGTGGTCTTGGTGGAGGCGGTGGTTTGGGCCATGGCGGAGGTCTTGGTGGCGGCGGCGNGCCCACCACTAAATCACTTGTCGAAATTGTTGTTGGTTAAAATTTCTTGTCGATATTTGGTCAATCTTCGTCGTGTAATTTATATATTATGTTGTCATTGGTATATATAGATAAGCTTGTAATTTATATTGCCTCACATGGGACACCAGCTTATGAGTTGTCTTGTCCCACGGGTGCAATGTCTTTTGCATGCAAGTCTTTGTCGGCCACTAGTCCCACTACCGTCCCTTATAAATAATGTAAAGTTTCTCAATCTTTGTATGTCAATATATATATATATATATATATATATATATATATATAGAGGAAGGATCATATGAGAATGACTCTTAATGCGGGAAATGAGAATGACCCTAGATCATTGGATCAATCAAACCAATGAACATGATCAAGTCAAAATTTAATAAATCACAGTCAACATGAATGGCATTATAGTAAATAATTGTACACAATATGGTCAATTATAAAAATTATACCACTAAGTGAGGGTAAACTAGACATTATATACTATAAGTGGACCCAACCACTACACCACTAACCTACCCCTCTCTCCCTCTCACCCGTAAACACACACAACACACACTAACACACACAAAACACCATACGCGACACACACATGAACACACAGAAACACACACAATCTGAATGGAGCCGCCGCCTGACGTCAATCGCACGCCGCCGGACGTCAATCTCACCGCCGCCGCAAGAATCGCCGGCCACGTCGCCCCCGACCCCAGCCGCTGCCGTCGATGTGGAGATCTATCAGATTCCGGCACGGCAAGTGGCACGTTTGGTCGACCTCGCCGGCGACTGTGTTGTAGTCCTCACCCAACGACCGTCTATCACTGCCTGTCGCCATTCCTCCACCGCGTCGTCGCTGTCAAATTTATCTTCTCAATCGCCGACCTCGATGCTCAGATCCGACAGCAAGAAGAAGGTCGCCACCTCCGGCGACACTAACCGGAGAACATTCAACCCCGTTTATCACTGCTCCCGAAGTCGCGTCGCCACCACCATCCTCCCCGTACCTGTGAAGGCGGCGAATCTATGTGAGGAGAAAATGGCAGTTTTCCTTTTTTTTTTTTTTTTTATTGAGCAGATGAAGTCGGCGAGGTCCTATCGGCGGGCTGTAGCGATGAAGATGGCGGCGGGTAGCGTATCGACGGCGACTGGAACATCGGGGGGTGAGCTCCGGCGGAGGTGACGGGGGGCCTGCAGAAATTATGTTTGGGATTTGTGGTGTTTTTATTTGTAAATTTGAGATGGTGTAAGGGCTTAATTGCAATTTCTTTAAGTTTCTTTTATTTCAATTTAACACTTGAGGCAAATCTGTAATATAATAAAAGTCTAATTAGTGCACAATGAAGTTACATCAATTGCACATTATTATGTGAAAACATACACATTAAAAAAAAGCCATATTTTTACGAAAGCATTTTTTTCACGATTCCTACACATCTAAAAGTTCACAAATTTATTAAAGTCTCACTTTGTTTAGGTATTTTATCGGTTGATCAAATAAAACTGATCGATTGGAGTGTCAATATTGATCTAATATTGTCGAACATTTGAAAAAAAAAAAAAAACAGATCGAACTTTTGTTCCAAGACATTCTAAACCTAAATCGTCATAATTGGATTTTTATTTTTTTAATTAACTGCAATAAATTATATTACTTATTATAATATTTCATATTACGTCTAATTTGATTAAAAATAATATATTATGTAAACGGAATATAATGTGCTAACTAACAGTCACTAAAGTGCAGTCCGTCCAACATTATGGTGCAAGATGATGGCCGGTATTGTGCAGATTAAATCAATTGATCTTTTGTCCCAAATCGAATTGATTATGCACATAATTAAAATAATAATAATAATTTGTTTATTCGGTTCGGTTAACCTAATTATTCTAAATTATCGAAATAATTTTATTATGTATATTAAAAATATATTTAATATGTTAATAATTTTACTAATTATTTTTATATTATTAGTTGTTGAAAAAAAAAATGTGTCCGATCGGTTTCGATCTCTTTTGTACAATCTGGTGGTAATAAAGTGCAGCGAGTTGTTTTGTAATGTGCAACGTGTTGTTATATAAAGTGCAACGTGTTGTTATATTACAATTTAATGTATTATTTACTATTGCTGACATTATTGATGATGGTTGAGATTGTGGACCACGAGATATCTAGATAGATATATAGATTGCACACAATTCTAGGGCCCGTTCTTCATTGGATTGATTTTAATTGAATTTAAGTTTCTCAATTTTTAACATCCACTTGACATGCTTGATCTTCATTAGCTAGGTTATGAAGAGGAGAGTTATTATGTTTTTGGCTTGATATTAATGTTATTTTTACATAAAAATAAATAACTAAATAATAATAATATTAATAATATTTAATAATAATTATAATTTTCATATAATTAGGCCTCGGTTTTTTTACAATTTTAAAAAAACAAGTCCGCATTGAACCGGAATAACCGGGTTTTTTAAAGTAAAATGAAAAAAAAAAAATAAAAATCAAACCAAATATAAGATTTCGAACCAAAATTTTGAGTTCGGTCCATTTTGTTCGATAATGTGCAATCTGATAGTCATTATTGTTCAATTCGTATAACCATAATGTGCAATCGCGATACATAAAAATATATAAAAACTAATACTATTTGTTTGTTTCTTTTTTGTTTTTTGTCGTTTCATTCGTTATGGTGCATTCTGTTAGTCAGAAATGTGCAACTTGTTTAACACTATAACACATTTATTAAATCATACATTTTTTAATAATTTGACTTCGAATCATACTAAAACTAAATCGAAATAATCGATTTATTTGTGCAATCAACTGAATTAACATAATAATCGCAATAGTTTATTATAGTATTTTTAATATATTTACTTAATATTTTATATTATGCTCGGATGAAAAAATAAATATTATATATATAAATCATATAATTTTGTCGGTTCGATTATTTAAGTTATTTTTGTAAAATAAAGATGATATCGAACCAAACCAAATTTTTAAACTGAAAAATAGATAATCGAACATAAATAAAAAAAAAATCGAATGAAAGTTTAATATCAGTCGGTTTTCGCTATCTCATATTAAAATATATTTAATATGTTAATATTTTTGTTTATTATTTTTATATTGTTTATGGTTGAAAAAAAAATGTGTACGGTCGATTTCGATCACTTTTGTACAATATGATAGTCGTGACAATGTGTAGCATGTTGTTTTGTAAAGTGCAACGTGTTGTATTATAAGGTGCAAAGCGTTGTATTATAAAGTGCAACGTGTTGATGTATGAAGTGCACTGCTATAATTTGGTACGTTACCTTGATTATATTTTGTGTGGATAACTGATGTGATTGATGTTAAAATATTACGTATATCTGTTTTTCAGATTTATGTTGTGTGGTATTTTGGCCGGAGCTGTTGACGTTAACTGTGGAGTATGGTGATAAAGTGAAACTTATCGTTTGTAAAGTGCAATTTGTTGTTTTATAAAGTACAGCGTTATGATATATAAAGTGCACTATTTTATATGATCACATATAAATTATTTGTTATATTAAAACTATATTTAGTAAATATAATTGCAAATCAAATTAACCCAATTAATTGAAATAATATTATCTTAATATTATCATACAATCTATTGATTGGGGTATTTTTTTTATGTGCATTTAATTTTATAATTGATCAGGGTATTTTTTATGTGCGTTTCAATTTTATAATAGACCAGGGAATTTTTTATGTGTATTTCAATAATAATATAATATGTATGTGTATAAAACAATATATAAAAGGTAATATGTTGATAGTGTGCAGTGAATTGTTTTATAAAGTGCAACGTTGTGTTTTATAAAGTGCAGTGTATTGACATATAAAGTGCACTACTATATGTGATGATATATAAATTATGTTTTTTTTTTTAAAAAAAAATTAGATTTGGAAGATAAATTATTTATTACTTGTATTATGAAAAAAAATAAAAAAAATTCATCATTTTTATTTATTATTTTATATTATTCTTATATAATATATTTATTTATAATTTTAATTATATAAGTATAGATAATATATAGAAAATAATATTTTTATAAATTATAAATTTAACCATGGACTAAATTAGAATAAAATCAAAATTGTAAAAATTGCACATAAATCCCTAGAACTCATCAAATTTCCAAATGATGACCCAAAATCTCTAATTCCCAACATCAAACTCCCGTCACTGCCTAATCAGGTTGCCCCGGCCGCCGTTGAATGGACGGCCGTTCCCCGCCCTGCCACGAGCTCGCCGGTGATGGAGTTCGTCAATTTTGGTTTTATTTTGGACAGATTCTTTCAACTCCGGGGACTGTTATGGAGATCAGCTCCGGCGACTGTGGAGGAGGGGGATGACAGGTCAACGACCGAATTGGTTGAGGTGTTTTGGCCCGCATATATGAAATCGAAATGGTCGGAAGAAAACGCCGGCGTCTGTGAGTTGGTTGATGGCGGCGGATGAAGGCGTGGCGGCGGTGGATGAAGGCGATGGCGGTTCGGCTGGTGGTGGTGACGAGGGCGTACTGGGCGAAGGCCGGCGCGCCGGTGAGAGGAGAGGTCACGGTTGATGTGCAGCTGTGAGAGAGGTTGCGGGTGGCCGCCGACGATGGCGGGCGACGGCCGTCGATGGCGGGAGATAGCCGGCAATGGCGGGGCGACGGCCGATGAACCAGCCTGTGAATGTGTGTGTTTGTGTGTTTTTTTCTGCGTATACTACGTGTGTGTGTGTGTGTTAATTGTGACAAAGAGAGAGAGAAAATGAGAGTGTAATTGAGAGAGAGGGAGAGCATGGGGTCGGGTAGTTGGCAGGTAGGTTGGGTAGTTGGCAGGTAGGTGTTGGTGTATTATGTGGAGTGGGTCCCACATATTTGAATTGGTGTGAAAAAATACCATAATGCCCTTAATGAAGGTATAGATTTGACTTTTTTATTAGTCATTAGATCATCCGATCCGATGGCTAAGATTTATTCTTATTTCTCACATTAAGCACCATTCTCATGTGAGCGCGACCCTATATATATATATATATATATATATATATATATATAAGGGATCACATAAGAATGGTAGATAATGAAAGAAATAAGAATGATTCTGAACCAATGGATCCAACATATCAATGATCATAATTAAATCAAATCTATTAAATAATGATAAATCAGTCAATGGCAACTCTGTAAATAAGTAGGCATACTTTGGTCAAATGTCTAAACTTACCCACTCAATAAGGACATTTTAGTTATTACACAACATCCACTATCTATGTGGGCCCCACCAATCATAATACAACTCACCTCTCTCTCACACACACACACAGAACGCAACTCACACCTCTCTCTCACCCGCACTCACGGAACTCACAGACACAGTCGCACATCGTCGGCGACCACCTTCCTCCCGCCGGCGGTGTCACCGGCCTCCACCTTCCTTCAGCCCGCGTCATCACCGTCTTCAGCCAGTTGATGTCGACGGCCACGGGGCGCAGCTTGCAGGCGGCAAAATCTGGCTTTGACCAACACCAATTCCGCGGTCACTGTTCTAGCGACGGCCAATTCGGCCAATCAGTCGGTGGTTCTCTCCAGAAATCTCTCTTCCGATGTTAATGGCCTTCGATTCGACGGCCAGTCGAAGCCCGCGACCACCGACCAAAGGTATCGGCTGATGGAACCGAAGCTAAGCAGCGGCGGACGGCGGCGGTGCGACTCGGTGACGGATGGAGACGAAGATACGTGCTTGCGGACAGAGGTGAGGCGTCGAGCCGCCTGACAGACAAGGCGGCGAGCAAGCGGACGGAGGTTGTGCAGAGCGGTGGCGGAAGAAGACGAGGGGTTTGCGTTGCTGACAGTGACGATGCTATGATGCGGCTGACTACGGCGAGCGACGAAACGGCGACGGCGGTCCGGTGGCGGCGGTTTACCGGCGGTGTGCTGAAGGAGATGGACGGCGGTGAAAAAAAATGTCCATGGCTGTTCATTCTTCATAGCGAAATGGATTTTGGGGTTTTTTTTTTTTTTGTAAATTAGATAAGTGTAAGAGACTTATATATAAATTAAAAATTTTCAACTATATTACAAATAAGTTCATGTGTTAAATTTGTAAATTGATAAAAGTTTATAGTTGCACAACGATGTTCAATGTAATGCACGCTATCACATTTGGATTTGCACATAATAAACACCCGTACAGCAGAATGCATATTAGCGTTAATAGGATGCCCATTATTGAATGTTAGAATGCACAATAATGTTAATTGAAATACACATTATAAAAATATTTTAAAATTGAAATGCACGTAAAAATATCCGCTCTACATAAACTTGATGGATAGATTGTCTAAAATATCCAATCTATGGGTAGTCGATTTTTACTTTTAAAATTATGGTCTCGGTTGGATTTGGGCTTTATTTTTAAAATAACCGAAACAACCAAAACGATCGAAATATATAAAAAATATTGTTTTTATATTATATATATTTATATTATGCATCCCAACAAAAATAATATAATATTAAAATATTAATATTACAATACTAAATATATTATTATAATATAAATAATAATTAATTTTTTGTTATTTTAGTTAATTCGGTTAACCGACAGATTGCACGTCAGTGATGAAAGAATTGCACATTAGTGACTGACAGATTGCACCATAGCAACCGAAATCGACAAACTAAGTTTTTGGGTCCAAAATTTATATTTTCGGTTCGATTAACCATTTTAATTTTAAATATTTGATTATTTGGTTCGATGTCATTTTTTAAAAATAACCAAACCGATTGTATTATATAAAAAAAATATTATTTTGTTATTTATATATTGTAGGTCTTTACAACCAAAAGCAGTATAGAATATTAAATAAAATAGTAAGTCAATTAATATATTTTTATAATTTAAAAAGATAAATTATTTTGGTTATTTATGTTAATTCGGTTAACCGACAAATAAATCGACAATTTTGTTTGGCTTTAGTTTTTGGATTGGAGCAATTCATAAAAAAGTGCAGACACTGCGATTGCACAATTGTGTTAGACGAATTGCACATTAATGAATATCATATTGCACTATATCAGAGGAACTCGACCAAACTATGTGTTTGGGTCCAAATTTTATACTTTGGTTCGATTATCTGTTTTTACTTCTAAAATTTTGGTTATTTCGGTTCGATGTCAGCTTTATTTTTCAAATAATCGTACCGATCGAACATGATAAAATATATTATTTTGTTATTTATTTGTTTTAGATCTTTACAACGAAAAGTAATATAAAATATTAAATAAAACATTACGCTATAAAATTTAACTTTATAATATAAATTCTAAGTTATTTCGATTATTTATGTTGGTTTAATACACCGATCAAATAAACTGACTATTTCTTTCAATTTTAGTTTGACTAGAGGCAAATCGTAAATAATTCATATACTTCGTGTGTACAATAGAGTTATACAAATTACACATTAATGACTATCGAATTGCACTATAGTTCACGAAAAAGACCGAAAATAAAATTTTCGGTTCAAATTTTTATATTTCGATTCGAATATCTATTTTTATTTTTTTAAAATATTGATTATTTGGGTTTGATGATGGATTTATTTTTAAAATGACTGAATTATTTTAAATGTAAATAAAAAATATTAAAATCATAAACATAGATTGAGTATTTATAAATTTGGCTAATAACCTATTATGAAGCTTATATTCCCGAACTCGTAATTCCATAGCAACCTATATATCTGATGCGCTTATCTGTTGTAGTTTATTATTACATTTTGTGAAAATTGCAGTTAGGTCCCTGTGGTTTATAAATATTTCAAAATAACCCCCAAAGTTAATCTAATTTACAAAAAGTGAACCCCACAAATCAACCTCAACAAACTCAGATCGTAACATTCACAGACAATAATATCACTGCCATCGTCAATTCGTAACATTCATAAACGAGTATATCACTGCCATCACGATGACTTCTGGCGACAATTCTACAGTATTTGAGACGGGCGGCGGCGGAGGATGAAGACACTAGGCTGAGGCCGGCGGTGACGGGCCGAAATTGAGTCTGAACGACGAGGAGTAAAGCAGCTCTCCATGGAAGTCTGTCGATTGTCGAGACTATCATCTCTCCGTTGAAGTGTGTCGACTTCCGAGAAC